GGGCTGGTGTGATTGTCTCTGCAAGACATTTGATGGGTGTCACAGTGACAGCTGGAGCAATGCTTCTTTTCCTAGGATGAGAAGTTTGGAAAATAGAGTCTGGGGGTGTGGGAAAGTTCTTTCTCTGTGCTGTTCTTGAAGGCCTAAAGGGTCATTGGGAAATGACACCAATGGGATCCAAACCCAAGAGGTGCTTCTTATTTTTAGAGCTGCAGAGCAGGCAGCAGGTGGGTAAGCAGAGCTGGCCTCCAGATGAGGCTGGGAGCAGCGTGCTGGCTGTAGACAGGGGCATCTCTGCAGTGGGGCAGCCCTGGGGTTTGCAGGCATACTGGCACTCCAAGCAGCACTGCAGCCTTCACAGGAGTCAGTATCTAAGCCAGACTTTAAAAACTGCCTCTCTTGTGCTGTCACTTAAGAGTGAGATGGAAATCTCACTGTGTTTATACAGACTGAAATGATAGGACTCTGCTTGAGCAAATGCTTGCAAGGAGAGATTCAGCTGGCTATGGAGCTTTGCTTCCAGGAGCAGAAGAAAACCACTTAGCCATTTAATCCTTTGAAGACTTCAGTCACCCTGATAAGATGTAGACAGGGCAGGACAAAGGAGATGGCTTTCATGTGCCCCTGCAAGACTGTCACCTCCCCAGGCAGGCTGCATCCCTCCACCCCAGGGAGCCACACAGGCCAGCATGGCTCCTGAGCCTGCCCCCTGCCCTTTCCCCGGCTGTGACACAGTCCCTCGATTTAAACCCTTAATCCTGGGAAGATTGTGCAATAGCTCCTTCAGGCTGAGAAAGGATTATGCCCGTTTCAAAGGTATTTGGCACTCTGGCTGCACCGGGAGAGCCCAATCAACCAGCCCAACCTCTCCTGCAAGAGCACCTGCAGGCAATTCTTGCAGCTGGTGCCTAGCAACTTGCTCTGAGTTGCTCTCACTGCTAAAATTCAATGTTATTTCCACCTTCCTCCCCAGAGGAGCAGCTCCTGGGTCAACATCAGGGAAGAATGAGACATTTCCCACTCAGCTTGCTATAAATTAGTGGTATGGGAGGGGCTGCTTTCTCTCTCTCAAGCGTGTGTCCTGTAGCCAGCTAAAAGGCATCTCCTCTCAGCATGTGGGACAGCTTCAGGTTGAGGAGATTAAGTAAATTGGGTTTTTTCCCTTCCTTCCCAATTTGTTTTCTGCTCCCAAATGCCTCTGCTTTCTTGCAGTTCTCTGCAGAAGAACCAGGCTTAGATTCATGCTGTGTCTCACCTTGGCTTTGCTTGGGTGAGCCCCAGGTTATGGCAACACACACAGGTAGCTACAAGCCCGGGGCTGTGCTGAGCACTCTCTAATGACACACAGCGACTTTTAGATCACCTATGTGACAGATGAAGGCAGCCCTGAATCTGAGAGAGAGGCCCTTGGGAAATGGCAGGCATCAGAAAAAAAAATGCATAGGAAACCAAGATTGCCTGTTTATGGGACTGAGATGTTTGCCGAGGTAGCGAGGCAAACATCAGCCAGCCCGGGCAGGACCGAGCAGCGTGTTCCTGCTTGTGGGCAGGGCACAGGAATGGGTGCTGGGAAGAGGGAGCCAAAGGGAGGATCCAGCTGCAGAGTGGGCAGGGGCTCGGGGAGCAGCATATCCTCCAGCGCCTGCTGGCACCGTGCACAGGGAGGAGCGCTCCAGCTGGAAGAGTTGGGAAGCTGTGAGTAGAGAAGTCCATAAGTAGTAGGGCTGTGGTACGGCAGCCTGGGTGTTTTTCAGAGAAAAGCAAGACGAGGTGCCTTGTAGGGCATTTCCAGTCCCTGGGAGGGCACGTGTTTGCCTCTGGCAACAAGCCCGAGATCCAGGGGGATTTCCCAGTGGGAGTCCCTTAGGACATCTCAGACTTGCCTGAATGGCACAGCTCCCTTGGTGGGGTCTGGTGGGAGGGCAGCTGAGCACTGCCTGCCCTGGCTGTTCCCAGTGCTAGCACTGGTTCAGTGCTGCAGAGCTCACCTCTCCTTGCCTCCCCAGTTTTATTCCTTGGGAAGCCCTGGGCGGTCCTAGCAACTACAGCCAGAGAGTTAGAGGTGCCTTATTGCTGTGCACAGGGTGGTTTTCAGAAGAGCCACCTTTATCTCACAGCTGTCTGTCCTCAGCTCCTGACTGCCTGCAGCACTGCGCAGTCGGGAAGGAGGAGTGGGAATCTCCTGGTCACTCGTTTGGACTCGGCAGCCTGAAGCAGATGAGGAGAGGGGTTGTTAAGCGCAGAAGCACCAATGGAGACGTCTCCAGCTCATCCCAGGACCCTCAGCCCTCCAAGGTGGGACATGGCTCTGTTTCCCAGCCCAGCAGCGATGCTCAGCGTGCTTCAGGTAGGTGTTTAAGTTAAGGATTTGTCATCATACGGATTACTTTAAACAAGCTCAACTGCATTGCACAGGCTGGCTGATGAGGATTGAGAAACACTTTATAGAGAAATGCATAAAGGACCCAAGTCTGATTCAGCCTTTCCTGGTGTCCAGTGGGTGCCTCTGGCCTGCATGGCTCAGGAGCTGGCCAGTCCCCTGCCAGGCTGTGATGCCTGAAGGCCAGGAGACACTGGTGGTGTCTCTTCCAGCTCAGGAAGGGACAGCTCTCCAAGCTGCATGGCTGAGCAGCCTTTGTCTCACTGCATGGGTGACACTGGTGGTGTTTTTTGGCTGGCCCAAAGTGGGTTTGGGACAAGCTTGGGACAGCAGAGTTTTCAGAGCAGCATGGCCAGATCCAGTGCCCGTAGTACAAAACTGTGACTCTGGTGGCTGAAGGGACTACTGGCCCAGCCAGCACTCGTGGGTCAGGAATCCTTCTGCTCCAGCAATCCCTTCCCACCACAGACTGCCTGTGGCTTGCACAGTTGTTCCCAAGCTCCTTCCAGGCCAAATCCACAGCCAGCTTAAGCAGTTTCAGTCCTAACTCCTTCCCTAGCCTGGCTCAGAGGAATGTAGGTGGGACTGCAGTGGAGATGGGGACCTTTGCAGCCAGGAGAAGAGATGTTGATAGCAAAATCTTCAGCTCAGAAAATGTCTCCTTCCTTCCTGCAAACATAAGGGGACAGAATTAAGGCTGAGCTTTCTGACCTCCAAGTTCTTGACTTCTGCTCTCACATTACAGCAGCAGCAAATCCTGTTGCATGAAGCAGAAATCTATCTGTCTGAACACGCACTATTTCAAACTCTTCTCTGTGTAAACTGTTTCAGACTTGACCAGGAACAAGGCTGTTTACTAACAGCAGAATTAGGAAACTTCTTTAGTATTGTGGTGTTTTCCCCCTGTTTTTTTTAGTTTGCATATTGAGCTGCTGAAGCTTAAATTTGGCAGCTAACAGTGTCAATGTGTTTTACCTCAAGTCATTTTCCTTTGCCTGATTGCCTGAATATCTCTGCAATTCCTCTGTGTACAGAGTGTGCTCTGCCTTCCTTCCGAGATGGAAAGAAAGGTTTTCCTTCACTTGGTATGAGGTTCGAAGGACAAGCAATGGTACGCTCATTTTCAGCAAATAAATAGAGGATGTTAAACTGCAAAAGGCCCATGGCAATATTTTTTTTTTTTTTTTACAAAAGGGTTGAATCCTGCTTCCATTTATGCTGACGTAAATCTACAATAATAAAGTTATTTTACAGAACTGCCTATTTTATTAATCCAAGTGTAATCAATAACTAGAATTGAATATATGATAATAGTTTGATCATTGTATCCTTCTGCAGTTCTCACTTGCTGTGATTGCAGCATCTTTTGGACATTTTACTTTCTTTTTCATGTGTTGTAGATATTAAACTTTCTGGCGCAAGGGCTGCCAGCATAAGCATAGCAGGAGGTTCATGAACCCCTGTGTTAGGAAACCCCTAATGTGCTACTTTGATAGTAAAGGAAAGCAAGGTTTGGAAAGTTGTAAGTGCTTCTGTGATAGTTGGTTTTTACTTTGAAAATATCTTTTGAGCTTTCCCTCCACCTCCATTTTGGCAGAACCAAACTCTGTTTGCTTTTAGGATTGCTGTCACTCACAAGCTGTCTCTCCAGGACTAAGTAAGTTAGCATAGCTAAAAACTGAGAAAACTGAGAAAAATGACTTCTACAGAGAGCATTGCCAGGGTGAAGTGGGGTTTTGCAAGCCTGTTGCTCACTTCGCATGATTTATTGGACATTGTGTTCTTCTAACAAGTGACAAGGTCATACTGACCAATTTGCCTGAGAAGGTTTACACAACCTTTAGCAATAGGAAACCTCACAGACTTAAAAACTTCATGCAGTAAGGGCAGCTCACTTTCACAGCTGGCCTTTTGAAAAGGATGAAGCAAGGTCAGTTCGGATGGAGAGGAGCAAGACTCTTGCAAACCCCAGACACAGCAGGAATGTTTGGTTCCTTGGAAATTTGTGTGGCTTGTTCTGATTTAGAGCTGTCCTGCGTGTTTCCAGCCCCAGTGCAGGAGCAGTGCTACGGTGAGGAGTGAGGAGCTGGAGTTAGGGCTGGAAATGCAGAGCGGTCCGGTCGCTCTCCTGGCTGTCCCCAGGGCCCAGCAGGGTGAGGGCGCAGGGGGACACCAGCACACGGGTGACGCTCCGGCTGTGAGCTCTACAGGAGCGAGCTGTGGCCGAGGGAGGGAGGGACCCCTGAAGGATGCGCTGCCTGAGGAGGTGTTTGTATGGCCTGGGGGCCTCCTCGCCCTGTGCCCCGCTGGAGCCCCACTGCTCCACCTCAGCGCACGCGGGTGCCATGAGGGAGGCACTCAGCCCGGGGGCTGGGCCGGGCAGCTGGGCTTGTGTGCACGTCTGTGTCTCTGTGTGTATGTGTCTGTCTATTTGTTTGTTTGTCTGTCTCGCTCTCTCTGTCCGCTGCCCTCCCACCGCCCGGCCCCTCAGCGTTTCCCCCTTCCCGCTGCAGCCCCCGCTCCGATCCCGCCCCTCCCGGCGCGAGGCCCCGCCCCGCGCGCCGCCGGCGGGCGATAAAGGTCTCGCGGCGGAGCTCTGACGTCACGGGGAGTTAATTTTAAACCCGGACAAGATGGCGGCGAGGGACGCGGCGCGGCGCGCGGGCCCGGCCCGCCACCGGCCCGCCCCGGCAGGTAACGAGGCCCGGCGGCAGCGCCGGGGGCGGCGGCGGGGCTGCGCTCGCGAGGTCGGTCCGGAGCGCGGGGCTGGGCGGCCTGGCGGTTCCGCGCGGCGCCGCGGGAAAGGCCCCCGTGTCTCCCCCCTCCTCAAAATGGCGTGGGCGGCCGCCCGCCCCCGAGGGGCGGCGGGGAAATCGCGGCAGCGGCCCCCGCGCCCGGCCCGCGGTCGCTCCCCGGCGGGGTCACCGCGCTTTTCCCGCTCCGCTGCCCGGGCCTCCCCCGCTGCGGTCGGCGGCCCGTGCCGGAGCGGGGGCGGCCCGGGGGCCACTGTCGGTGACCTTATTCCCCGCTGCGGAGCGGCCGGGCCTCACCGTGGGTGCCTCAGCCCCGGGAGCAGCGGGGGCTGCGGCCCCGGGGCCGCGGGGCGCTGGCGTTTCACAGTGCCGGGAGCGGAGCCAGGCAGCCCGGAGGGCGCCGACTTTCCCGGGGCCGCGTCCGCTCGCGGAGGGAGCAGCCCCGGGCAGCTCGGGGAAGGAGGTGACCGATCCCTGTCGGCACGTCCCCCACATGGAGCTGCTGCGCTCCGCTGTCAGCGCTGCTCCCGCCTGTAATCTATCCCCCGGTGGGGATGGGACATGGCTTTGGCTGGGTGTTCAGCCTCGGGTGTGCTGGAGTCTGCGCAGTGTGCTTCTTAAAGTATGGTTATTTCTCAGGAACGGCTTAAAATCTCAGAGCTCGTAGCAGTCTCCCTGCCGTACGCTTGGCGAGGGGGCACCTGGGACTTGTGAGGCTTGTGCTGCCTCGAACGCTGAGTTTGGATCATGTGAGGTTTTTAGCACTGCACTGGAACAGTGAACTATTTTAACATCTTTGTTGTGTAACTCTCACTTAATTTGGAAGCAGAAAGATTGGGCTGGGCACAATTAAACAAAACCTAGCAGATGCCATGTGCCACGATTGGTTTCAATTGCTTGATTTGCAAGCCAACTAGCGATAGGGAAATCTAGCTGCACTATAAACTGGGAGATACAGAATGACAACTCACCTGGCTTGATTTACAGGGAGGAAAAGGCAGTGGTTCTAAGCATCAGGAAAAGTTTGATTGTGTTTGGCAGCATTGCAATTTGAATAATTTAAAAGAGCCCAAGAGATTGAAGTTGAGGATGCGATACTGCTTTACTGCTCAAGGGCTGGTCTCTCTCTCTCCCAACACTGCTCAGTTTTCTTTGATTTCAGTTTTCTGTGTTTTTGCCACTGTGTCATTTAATTATCTCCAAGCGTTAGATTATTGCATAGTTTTCTCAAGGTCATAAAAGTTCCAGCACACCTGTAATAAATGGCCTTTAATTAGCTATGTCATCATCAGCAGTGGAAACATGCACATGTCACTCTTAGTTGCATCTGAACTTTAGTCATGGAACAGCTTAGGTGATAGGGTCTGTGTGGATGGTCTGTGCCTGCCTGCTGAAGGGATTTCTGCACAGTGAAATAAAGCAGAGGGATGGGTTGGAATAGTTACAAGAGCAGCAGTGGAACAGGAGAGGCCTTTAACTCCTCCTGTACCATTACTGAGTGTTGCTTAACAGCTGTTATGTCCTAGCTTACCCTGAAATCAATAATCCTGTTACAGCACCTCCTCAAATAATAGCACTAGCACTAGTTTTTTGTTTTTTCTGCTGGAATTATTTTGAAAGCAGGGAGTGGAGTTGAGGAGGGCTGTATTCTCTCCTTTTCACGTTCGCTTGCCTGCAGCTCAAAACCTAGCAGAGAAATAGTCCCAGCGCAGAAGAGTTTTACTTGAATTGTTGTTCAAGTAAAAAGCATTGTTTTTAAACATGACAGTCTGTCCTGGTTTAGGAGGCTGGGCAGCTCTTGTTTGTGTTGGGTGCACAGGAATACTTGAGCCACGTCTTACAAGAGTCCTAATACTTCTTAGGTACCTTGTGTCAACTGCAGTCCCTGTGGTTTGCTTGAATATCAGTGATTAATATTTGCTTACTGGCTGTACTAATGAAGTAGCACTGACTGGAGTGAGGTCCTGTGATAGATGAGGAGTTGTTTTCTCTTCCTGCCCTAATAATGGAAGGTACACTGCCTCGTGCTGGCTAGCCTGGACAGGAGCAGCTCTGCTGGGGGAGAAGGGATTTTTCTCCAGTGTAATAGAGGAGCACTTCTCTCCTGGTGGCTGCATCACATTGTCCCCAGCTTTGAGCTTCCCAACTTCCAAACCAGATGAAGTAGGCAGATGGGAGTGCAGGTGTGAGTTCTGTGTCCTTGTTGGCTTGGTAGTGAACCTCAGTGGTGTTGGTCTCCAGCACCATCACAGGCTTCACTTCAGCACGGTAATAAAAGTACTTTTAACTTTGTGCCTGTTGTTAGCAGACTGTTGTACATCTTATCACAGTCCATGGGAGTTTCAAGGACATTCATAAAGAAAACTACCAAATTTCACTCAAATGTTACCTTACGTAAGTTAGGTTTGAATTTGCTTTTGTTCTTGTATTTTGACTAGGAACAGACCCCATCCCTGGGATGATTTTTGATGTTCAAGGCAGTCTTTGAATGGGAAGTTTTAAACTTTAAAATCAGGCTGAGTTGTTGCCTTGTCTTTTAATTTACTTAATTTCTTTTTCTACTGTTGCTGCATGCTGTGCCTACAGTGTGATCTGTGAGCTGCCTGCCTGAGTGCATTTTTTCAACTTCTTGCTGAAGGCTGCATTTACTTCATGAACTTACTATACTAGCTGTCAGTATTTTAGGTTTTATCTTTAACCTTAACTATCTAAAGTGAACAAGGCATTAAAAAATTTTCTAAGTTTCTGCATAGGCAGATGTGCTGATTTTGCCATTAGTCAACAACTGAAAAAGTTCAGAAATACTTATGTATGGTGGTTCTTCAGACTTTACTCTTGCTGAAGTATGACTGGGTTTCTTTTTTTAAAACATTTTCAGCAACTTGATCTTCCTGAGATGTCCTGGAGGAAAGATAGAAGTAGCTTTCCTTGGTGTTGGAAGGTTGTTCTTGATGTGATACAAAGAATTGTTATCTCATCCTGTAGCTGATTTTAAGGTCATGGTGCTGCGTAGGGAGTTGATTTACGTGAATACATTTCTGGGGTTGGGATTTGTGTCTGAAAGACCAGAGCAAGCAGATGAGCAGGTTTTAAAAATATGTGAAAACATGGCTCACATTGATGTCTGCAGTTTCAGTTAACTGCAAAGAAATGACTGATAAGAAATGGGTGATGTCTTTGAGGATAAGAATTATAATCAAGGCATTTTTAGGAGCAAATTAATACATAATAGGAACTTGTGTTTTGAGAGCATTGGTAACTAACTTGCCTGACCTTTAGCTTGTGTTCGTTTCTGAAATAATATGTTCTGTATAGTGTTCATTGTCAGGAAAACAAGACTTTGTTTGCTTGCCAAGCTTTTTGAAACCCTTTGAATATCAAACTTGGAAGGGCTGTTGAAGTTCCTTCCTTCAACTCCCCAAGTTGGTGTTTAACTGGAGTTCTTGCTCTGCAGCAAAGCAAGGAGCTCACTGTCTCCCATTGTGTTTGGGAGGGAGCCCACATCCCTGTTCTAGGGCCATAATTATCTCTACAGGATGTGTAAGCCTGTGAACATCCTCCTAAAGTTATCTGTTCAGTTTGTCTGGAACCTGTCACTGAGAATTTTGGCTGCTCCACGGCAATGTTACTCCTTGAAGTAACAAGACTGCTTTATATCTCAGTGTGAGAATAGTAGATCTTTGAAGCTATATAAGTATCTTCTTCAATTAACTAAACAGGAAAAAAAGAGAAAAACTATGCTAATTATTTAACCATAATTTAATTATGGTTTGTAGCTGGCTTCTCTTTAAGGTTGGAAAAACTTACAGCAGAATGTTTGCCACCAAAGATGGCACTACTGAGCATCCAAGGCAGTCCAGAGGAACTTACATGAGTAAATGCTGATAAGATGGATGGTGGGATTCCTGTTTGATGCCCACTTGATGAACTTACGAGGAGGACTAATAGGAAATCAAGTATAAGGTGAAAGAGAAGTCCATTTGGGCCTTTGCAGAAATGATTAATGAAAATACAGCTTATTTTAAGAGTGGCCCTGCTCTTGTCTATAATGGAGTAATAGGTGAAAGGACTGGTAAAAGTCTTTGTAAAAGACTGCCTAGTGTCTTTTGGGGAAGGATTTTTTGTTCATAGCTTGGTTACTTGGACTCTCTTTACCCTTTGTATGGGGAAAATACTGATATGCTTTACTAGGATGAGAGATGTCTCATGTAGTTTGTTGTTTTGGTTTTTTTTCTAAATGTATTTTCAGCTTTATTGTCAGTGCAGATGATGAGCAAATGATGATTGCATTTCCAGCCCTATATATTGGTGATTTTTGCATGGCAAGGTGGGATTTGCTACTGCAGGTCATAGCAGATTTCTTATAAAGGACTGGAATAGAGGCCAAAATGTTGAAGACTTGAACTGCTAAGATGTTGCACAGATTGCAGACATGGAATGTAGAATGCAATTCCCACTGAACTGATATTTGAGAGTAGAACCTAATTTGCTCTTACACAGTTGTTGTTCCAGTGACATCAGAATCAGGTTCCAGTCTGTAGTTCATGTCAAATTATCATGCATTTATTTTCACACTGTCACCTCAGAGATAAGCATGTTGAATTTACCAATTCTTATTGGTCTCAGTAAAATATTTGGAATGTCTTTCTGAGCAATGTATTGGGTAATAACTCCAGGATAACAAGGTGCCTTTTTTTTTCACTTGGATTGAAAATTACAGAAACTTGTTGGAGAACATGTGTCAACTGCTTGTACTGATGTGTTAGGACTGCTTTCCCTGTGTTGTGCATACTTTGAAAAGTTGTTCTCACCTCTTATCTCCTCCAGCAGGGTGGTATTGCTGAGTGGAAGACTAAGTGCTGTTATTTTAGCTGTTTCTTTAAACCCAATCCTGTGATAATACTGCCTGCAAACTTGCTGTCTTGCTCCCCTCCTCAACCT